GTAAAATGAAATAAGTGATTACTCCTGGATATACAGACATTCTCTTTTTTTACATTTTATTTACATCCCGAGTGCTTGCCGGCATTAAAACATATAACTTCATGTCCACTGCAGTCCCTTTCCCCCCTGTTCCATCTGTTATCGAGCACTTCTCCGTTAATGAGCAGAAATATGTTTCCGTGATTGCACAGAAATATCTCCAAAGTTTCCACAACAGCTGGCTCAATCTTCTCTAATTGAATCCATTTATGGAAACGGTACCAATCCATAGTCTATATCTGTGTCTTGCATCTGAAGAGGTAGAAATGGCCAAGGAGGAGGTATTGGCCCCAGATGCAGTACAATAAACAAGAACCTATCATTGTTAAAGTTTTTACAGTAATTATTTAATATACGAGTGATTGTGTGTCATGAATTAATTATTTCCCCCTCCTCTGTCATAACCTTGAGTCTTGTTGTATCTGTACGGTTGTGTTGCAATTTCAGACTTCACTATACTATTACTTGGGTTTTTAACATTGGCGCCATTGACATTTTGCTGAATGCCGTCAGTACTGAAAAGTACATTTCAAGAAGAACTCCAGGCAGAAATGTTAACCCTTGCAGCTGGGCTACCCCGGCACTGCAAGGGTTAACTGCTCATTTTTGTCTGGGGGTCAAAAAAGAAAGTTATACTCGCCTGATCTTCAGAGCTGACTTGCTCTTAAGGTGCCCATACACCTTACGACCATCGCAAGACTTTTGTCTTGCGATGGTCGTAAGCTTATTAAAAGCTTGTACGATCTGCCCATCTTGGACAGGCAGATCGTACTTGCGATCATCGAAAGCCCGCTTCCGATGACCGCAATGCAGAACGGGCAGTGTGGGCGTGCCCACACGGCCCATTCCGCAGCTGTCGAACGAGCAGGCTAGAACCCCGCCGACAATCGTACGATTCCCGGCGGTTTTTCGAGCATGCTGGTTCGACAAGACGTGCGACCGTACAGTAAAAACGGTTGCACGTCTTCGTTCACACTGCACGATTCTCGTACGATCGCGGGATTTCCCGCGATCGTACGAGAATCGTGCAGTGTATGGAAGGCGTGCGACCGTACGATTCTCGGCGAGTTAGTGGCCTGCTGGTTCGACAGCTGCGGAACGGGCCGGTGTTCGCACACTGCCCGTTTTGCAGTCATCGTAAGCCCGCCCCTCATTACAGTCATCGGAAGCCCGCCCCTCAGGGGGGCGGGCTTGCGATGATCGCAAGTACGATCTGCCTGTCCAAGATGTGCAGATCGTACGTTTTTTTGAATTGCTTTACAACCATCGCAAGACTAAGGTCTTGCGATGGTTGTAAAGTGTATGGCCACCTTTAGACATGTCCCTGGATTGTCTCTCCCCCTCCGCTCCAGCTGCTTAGGAATCCTCGTGTCATCACGTCCAATACAGGGAATAGGATGTGAGGATGCCGAGGGAAGTACCATCGCTGCAGAGGAGGAGGAGGAGGAGAAGACAGGCTGGAGGGAGCGCAGTCGGCTCCGAGCTCTCAGGTGAGTATACTTTTTTTTTTTGGCCCTTAGGCAAAAATGAGCACTTAGTGGTATTAAAGTCTTGTTTGTTTGGTTTTTTAAAAAAAATGATTTTTATCTACTGCTAGCAGTAGATACATTTAAAAACATTAAAAAGTTACCAAATCGGTAAAAACTTTCTCCGCCGCTCGCTCCCGGCTGTAAAATCCAGCTTCCCGAACGGCCATGCGGGAGAATGTGTGCGGGCGCATTCGCAGTGGATATCACTGGCGAGGAGAAGAGACACACTGTAAGTCAATGCACGCAGCCATGAGCATGCACGTCAGATAATCCGTGGGACAGGAAGAAACCGCAGTCTGCGCTGAATCCGAGACCGGCACCAGCGCTGGAAGGACTGCTGAAAACGACTGGAAGGAAGATGATGTTCAGATCAAGAGGCATCACATACGGCAAGTCCTTATAGCAGCATTGGGGGGGATTAGCCTTTAATGTCATTTTAATCCTTGCACTGCAAGGGTTAATAACCTTTCTGCCAGGAGTTCTTCTTTAAAAAGTACTGAAGACATTTATTGGTCAGCTCTGTGTTGGTATTAAAGCTGAACTAAACCCTCCTATCCTTTGCAGCCAAAAATGGCGCCATCTTGGCCTCAATTTTGCAATGTTGCTGCATATGTGACCAGATATGACACCAGCAACTTCATGTTCAGTTGAGAGCTGGCATAAGCACACTGGAGACTGTGCCCGTCATCACTAGAGGCATTCCTTTGAGTGTACCATGCACTGCTCATGAGCTAGTAGGCATCATCCCTTTCTTTTTTTTTCAATCTGTCCCATTGAGGAGATTTGCCTTCACTTCCTGTCCGATAACCACAACAGGAAGTGAGAGGGAAATCCCAAGTGGTCAGCAGGGTCACCAGAACTATTGTCCAAATTGGAGGATTTCCCATCTATTCCTGTTCTGTTGACAACCCAATATGTGTAATTTTCTTTCACTTTCAGTACTCACATTCACCAGAACAAGTTGAGAGGGTGGATCTGTGTGACGGGGACACAGAGAGCAATAAAAACATGTCCGGTTTTCTAGTCCCTCTCCACTCTATTCAGAAAATTAGCTTCAGTTGCACTTTAATCGCTTACCTGGAAGTAGATTGCAGGAAGTATAGTCAGAGCTCCAGATTTACATACTGGTTCCAGATCAATAATGGTATTGAAGGTGGTATGACAACCATGCACTCTGTGTACATCTCCATGGGGGAAAGTCATATAACAAGTTCATTTCATTTGATATATTTTCAGAATCCGTTCTTCAGGAAGGTCATTTATCTCTCTGCTGAGTGTCGTACCGCAGCTGAAGACAGACTCTGAGATTTACTTAGCAGAGTCCCCCCTGTGCACACTCCATGCAGTACACTTTAAACTGGCATTTCCATAAAGAGCTGCAGGCACACACGACGCCTGTCTGGCCGTGCCAGTAATTTGCAGACAGCAGGAATCTAGCTTTTCATTCTGCAACTCTCGCTGTTTACCAAGATGCAGTTAAGGAATTACAAGTCCTTTTTAAAGTCAATAGCATACTCTATCGGCTTGTTTGTGCCAGTTGGGTTATGCTCGGCATTCATGGGGGGCAGATCTGTCATCTGATTGGACATATGAGCCTGGAGAGCTGTTTATTGCAATAGTATTGGGCTGTTGTCTATAGCAGCAACTTAACACCCCTTTACCTTTCTGTTCGAGTGGAGAAATGCAAATTTGAGATTTCAGTTTTTGACAGTAGAGGGAACTGATTGGGCACTCTGGCGGTTGTCCATTCCTTCTTTTCCTCCAGTTTACAATGAGGACCCCTCCCCCGATGGGTAGATGTCCCGATACCACTTTTTTTTTAAGACCAAGCACAAATACTGTCCCTCATGTACTTGCCGATACCAATTACCGATACTAAAACACGGACTGATGATTTTAGGGCAGTTTCACACCAGGGCTAAATACAGATGTCCCCACAGCAGAACACGTGTCCCCACAGCAGAACACGTGTCCCCACAGCAGAACATTATTCTGCAAATACATGTCCCAAAAACAGGATTCCTCTCACCAGGCTGCGTATCGATCTCACCCAGGCGACGTGGACATCTGCAATGGCTCTGCATGCACTCCACCTGACCAACGATGCCGGGACCCGGCCTCCCCCACGTCCAGTCCGGCCGACTATCTGCACTGCTGGCCCCTGCGACTTCCATCCATCTCCCAGCCCAGTCCTTCCCGTCAGTGTGAGACGGGAACCCCCAGCTTCTAACCCAGGGGCAGTAGTTCCGCCCTCAGGGTTGTCCATGGCTGGGCCTGCGCCGAGGAGGAGGAGATAAAGAACTAAACAAGCACTGCCATGGACAGCAATCTGCAGGTCCCCAGCAGGCTGCCGAGGCCCCCACAAGCACGGGAACTCGGATGGCCGCTGCTCTTTGAAAATGTAAAGGGCCGGTATCGGCCTTAAGAATCGGGGCATTTTCACGAGTACGGGTACTCGTGAAAATGCCTGGTATCGGCCCTGATACTATTAGCGGTATCGGGACATCCCTAATTTTGATGTACATGAATTGCATTGTTAAAGTGGCATTAAACCTTCCCCCCTCTTCCCATGCTACTGTAAGCACTTACCTTATGTGATACCTCTTGATCCGATCATCATCATCCTTCCACTCGTTTCCGACAGTCCCTCCAGCACTGGTGCCGGTCTCTGATCCACCGCAGTCTCCTTGTGTCCCACGCTGTCTGTCCAACGTGCACGCTCCTGGCTGCGTCCACTGAGTTTTATTTTCTCACCCCTCCGCTCTATCGTACTGCACATACGCCCGCACACTCCTTCGCAGCCGTTCGAGAGCTTCAGCCGGGAGTGAGCGGCGCTGGAACAGGTAAGTAATTAGGTATTTGCCTTTTTTTTATTTATTTATGTTTAATCATGGGGCATATATCTACTGCCGGCTAGGAGTAGATATATGCTAAAAAACGAAAGACTTTAATTATACTTTAAGTCCTTTCTACTTTAGATTGCCATTGGCATCTTTCAATGCCTGTTTGGTGGGCGAGGCCTGATTTGATTCCTAACCAAAGGCTGAATACATTGGCTGCGTCTTGAGGCAGATGCCGCTACGTTTATATATGCGTCACATTTTGGCAGCTCTGCGTTACTCACTTTTAGAGGCCGCCAGAGAGGATCTGGCAATTTGGGGCTTTCAGGGACCCTGTTACTGACTGCACCCTTACCCCTACACACCCAACTGGGCTAAAACGTATTGGAGACGGATTTATTTTCTGCTTGCAGTTTTAATGTTGGCCGACTATGTTGCTCGGGTCGTTCCAGAGGTTTTGGTCTTTTTGATGCCCATAGTACTACCCTGTTGTGCTCCTGTGCGTTTTTCCTTTTTGTTTCTTTCTGACCCTGTTCCAGAATTATAAAGCTATGATGAGCTTTTGCTAACAATTACATTTTTCTTTTTGCAGATTTAGAAGAAGATCACAAAGGCTTTAAACGGATACGAGCGGCTGTAACCCCTTCTAGGTAAGTGCTCTTAATTCATTGATCGGCGTGCGTTGGCAGCTTTCACACATTTTCCAAAACCTCCTGGTGTCTTCATTGGGTCCTGTAGACATAAAGCCATCAAAGCAACGCTTGCAATTTTGTACTTAAGAATTCTGTGTGTTGCAGTACAAGATTTTCTATCATTTTATTTATTGGTATTTATATAATGCCAACAATTTACACAGAGCTTTACATACTGCACATTCACATCAGTCCCTGCCCTGAGGAGCTTACAATCTAAGGTCCCTATTGCACACACATACAGGGCCGATTTTAGAGAGGAGCCAATTAACCTTCCAGCATGCCTTGGTGTGTGGGAGGAAACCGGAGTACCCGGAGGAAACCCACGCAAGCACAGGGAGAACATGTGGCAAACATTACATCTGGGCGATTCCTGTGTTTCTAGGGTACCATGTAGTCCTATTCGACTCTCTGCCTGTTCATACTTTTTTTTTCTTGCTGCCAAAAAGCCAGATAGGTCTGAAAATTGTTTACACCACCATTAAGGAAAGTTAAGAGGTGTATTTAGAAACATTTCACAGGTCCCTTTGCCTTGCAAATATCTGTGAATGTTCATTACGTGTGAATAATGACAAAAGCAAACCTACTTAAGATATATTTTTTTCCCAGTCCAATGTATTCTGATGTAATACCATAATATGACCAATAGATGGAGCTGAGGAGCATAGGAAAGATTTCCTCAGCTCCATCTAGTTAAAATAGTTTTCTGTGCTCTTCTGCTCCATCTGGTGGCCACAATGCAATATTAGATCACAATACATTTGATCTAGAAACAATATATTTTATGATTGTTCATTTTTTTTGTCGATATTCACTCAAAACAAATGCTCACAGATGTGCAAAGAGCCCTGTGAATTGATTACAATAGAATAATACAATAGACCCCTATGTGTGTTCATAAATGCGATTGCTATTCAGGTTGTTGTTGCTGTTTTTATTTTATTTTAATTTTTTTTTTTAAACCCCAGTGTTTTGGGTTGAGAGCATAGAAGGTAATTTTTTATTTTATTTTAGTGACTCACTATGTTCAAAATGTAAGACCAAGCATTTTAATGTAGTCACAGAGTGGAATCGAAGTTAGCAGGGTGTGGATCGTCGTTAAAACAACCTCCTTAAGGGCATATTTATGAAGCAATGAATCCGGCATTCACCAAACATTTACTGTAGGTGAATGAGTTTACAACGACAGTCATTGACTCGCCACCAGTAAATGTTTGGTTAAAATGCCCCTTAATGTACCCAAATCAGTCTTAAAGTAAAGAAAGGAAAAAATCCCATTAAAAATAAAGTGAATAGTCCAAAAAACGTATTTTTTAATGATTTTTAGATTTCACAGATTTGTGATTGCTCGGCCCCACTTCTCTCCCACATCTCAGCGGGCTGGGGGTGGAGAATATAAAAGATGCTCTGCAGTTTCTGCTGACATCACAGATCCTAGAGAGGACCATTATCTCTATGGAAACCCCACTCGGCAGGAATAAAGGGATGACATCACTTTCTAATCCCTGCCAGATGCCGCAGGCGGTGTGGCAGCTGTATGAAGTATACTGCATTGGCACGGCATCCTGTATCTCCCATGTCGTCAGGAGACGAGCAAACTGACCACACTAGGACAAATCTGCTTCTTCGCCTAGCATGGTCACCTACAAGCAGGACAGGGGTTGTCTGCTGGGGGGACTGGCCGGATCACCAAGTATTTTACAACTGTAGAAATTGACTTGAGAGAATGCAGAAGTTTTTTAGGGATTAAAGAGGAGGTAGGTGAATGTGAAACCAACTTTTCAAAGTTAGGATTGACATAAACTTTAACTCCTTCTTCCACTTTTCCCCTTTTATTTTTTTCCTGCTGTTTTTTTGTTTTGTTTTTATTTTTAAAAAATCTGTTTTATTAGTGGTGCATTAATAAAATGCAAATTTGGAACAGAAGCCTTTTTTAGTTGTAAATTACTCTTAATAGTTATACTATAATCATAATTTCAGTCTTGATTTAGAGCCCATTCACACCAGGGCGATTGCGGATCACCGCACTTACCACGCTGATCTCAAAAGGGAGGTTTCGAGAGTTTTTAATTCCATTTCAGTGCTGAAACGCAATAAAAATGCCCCAAACCGCGCTGATTAGCGTGGTTCCATTGAAACCTGTATGTAAACCTCTCTGATCAGCGCGGCAAAAATAGTGCAGGGAGCAGTTCAGGCGGGGGGTCGGTTCAGATTGCGCAGACGCGCGGTCGCTTGAACAGTCTCCATAGCAATCATGCCGCTGGATCTGTGTGGCTGAACCACCCCGGTGTGAAGGGGGTCTTAAAGGAGAACTATGGGGTTAAGGCTTTTCCCCATAGTTCTCCTTAGGGTACCGGGAGGACACAAACTAGCGTCCCCCCGTTACCCTAAGCTCAGTATACCGCGAGCTGTAGCTCGCGGTATACTGAGACGCCACAGCTGAAGCGGATCCCGACAATTATGCCGGGATCCGCCCAGCTGCGTGACTGACAGCTGGCTCTGCCTTTCTAGAGGCGGAGCCAGCTGTACCCGCCCCCATCCGTTCTGCCAGTCAGCGCTGGCGGATCGGAGCGGGGAATCCAGCCCCTCCCCTGTCATGGCAGAGAGCCGTGACAGGATCGAGAGGTGAGTGAACGCCGGTATGTGTTCGCTCACCTCCCGATCTACTGAGCCGACCTGTGACAGTCTCATTGTCACAGGTCGGCTAGAACTATGAGGTGAGTGAAAAGCACTCACCTCATAGTTCTCCTTTTTAAACCAGATAAATTACAAGCGGCTGAAAAGTTCTGAGGCTGAGGTACTTACAATCGCGATAATTGCTTGCCCTACCTCCCGATAGGTATACAAGGAGCGTTTCAAGTAATTAGCACCGTGAGCTCCGAGTAATTGAACCATGAACATCACCATGTTTGAGTCGTCGACACATCTCGTGATAACTGAACACCGACTGTGATAAAATTCCTCTCTAAAAAGGAGAAAAATGGTGAAGGAGATTTTTGAAGAAATGTCTTTAGTGTATGGGGACTCTGGACCATTTGCAACCGTCAAATGCTGGACCTGACTATTCCAACAGAGCAGGGAGTCCCTTGAAGACGACCTTCACTCCGGGGGCCGCCCGAGCACAGCGGTTATGGAGGAAAACATAGAAAAAGTAAAACAATGCGTACTGGAGGATCGCAGAATAAAAATGTGGCAGATAGTTAGTTACATAGTTAGGTTGGAAAAAAGACTCGAGTTCAACCTATAGAGATGAGGGGGAAAAAAAATAGCTGAAGAATTGAACATTAGCAAAAAACGAGTCGGAGAAATGTTACATACTCATTTGCATATGAGAAAAATGAGCGCGCGTTGGGTGCCAAGAATGCTCACAGTGTTCAACAAACAACGGCGAGTCAAAACAAGTTTCGAGGCGTGCTTTGAAGAAATCAACCATCCACCTTCTAGTCCTGACCTGGCCCTCGGTGACTATTCCTTATTCAGCCATTTGAAGAAAGAGTTGAGGGGGTGAAGATGTCCGGTCGGTGAAATGAAAGCTGCCGTAGAGGAGCATTTTAATAGTAAAGCTCAAACTTATTTTCTTAATGATCTTAGGGCTGTGAGAATTCCCTCCAAACGGTAGCGCATTAAAGACGCATCCACTCGCTGAAATCTTCATTTCAGGGCTTCCTTGCCCACTTTTATTAAATGAAAGTTCACAAACACAAAGCAATCGCCCTCGCAGGGGTTCTTTAGCATCTCTTGGCAACACTGAGATTGTCTGGAGGAACAGACAGTGGCCTGAGGCCGGAGCAGCGGTGCTAAAAATGCAAAGCCAGGAGGCTCCTGGCCAGGGGCGTCCCGAGGCTGGGTGACACCCGGAGCGGTAACCGAGTGTCACCCCGCCGTGACATCGCGCATGCGCGTGACGTCATCGCGCACGCGCGGCAGCACTCTGTTACCTGCCGGCGGCCATCTTGGTGATGGGCGCTGGCAGAGAGAGGAGGGGACAGTCACCCGGCGGAATAAGGTATGCCGCCGGGTCCCCTCCTCTCTCCTGATACTGTCGGGCATTCGCTCCATGACCGCGCGCCGACTTTTCAGAGGGGGGTGACACCAAAATGACTGTGAGTCATTTTGGTGTCACCCGGGTGAGGGCCGCACCCCCCTTGTGACGCCACTGCTACTGGCTTTGCATTTGCAGCACCGCTGCTCTGGCCTCAGGCCACTGTCTGTTCCTCCAGACAGTCTCAGTCTCGTGCTAACCTGCACACTTGGTTTTTCCAACCCGCAGCACCCTGCTGCACTGGACTCCACCCTGATTCCTGGGTTGAGTTTTCCAGTCTCCCAGGTGGAGCCCTGAACCCTTCCCAACACCTTTTTATTTTAAAGGCTGTGCACACCTGTGCCATCAGCATGTGCTGGACACTATCAAAATATGGACACAGAAATGGAGATTACACCGTGGCTTTACTTTTATATAGCCCGAAAGAGGGATTACATTTCACTTAGTATAGCGCTGCACACTCATTTTTACACCGTGGCATTGCCACGCACTGCCACAGGGCGCTTCAGGACCTCCTCGTATAATATGTATACTTCTTTCTACAGTAACTTTTTTTTTTTTTTGCCTTTTTAAAGGCAATAGAATCGTTTTTGTTTAAAGTTTTGTTAAGTTCTTTTGTCTATGAGTTGTATGAAGATAAAATCATTTAAGCAAGACAATATCCCCAAAAGAAAGCCTTGTTTGTGCTAGAAAAATAGTAAATGTATCACTTTGTTACTCTGAGTAATGACAAAGTTATTGACAAATAAACGGGCTCATGACATAAATGTCAAAATTGCTCTGGTCCATAGGGGGCGCTATAGGTGTGAGAGCCGAACTGGTTAAACCACATTTAAAGAGGAGCTTTACCCAAATCCTCAAAATAACAGACACCTTTTAGAAATGTTTAGTGATGACAATCTACACACACACTTTT